GTGGTGTGAAGAATTCTCCGGGCAGACGCAATGTCGTGCCGTATACAATTTCAGTGGCGGAACATTGGATATCTGCCTTTAAGCTCGTTCTCGCCCCTAAAAGAACAAGCGGTATGGTTTCGTGCCAGTTGCCGTTTTCGTGTGCTCGTAGAACACTTTTAAGTTGGCAGTGAAACCGTTCAACTTAACCATTTGGTGCTGGGTGGTAGACGGATATGCTTATGCGTATGCATTCCGTACCAAGCAGCCGGGTCAGCGAGGAGAATCGTTAATAGGGTAACATTTCTCGAATAAAGCGTGGAATTCATCATCACGCGAATAAAAAGTGACAAGGATTCGGTACACATACGTGTGAGTCTATTATATTAATACTATTCTTATCGTTATCCGTCATGTCGCGTATATTATATATTAAAAATATGAAAATATACGACAGACGTGGATAGATAAATCATAGACTCACCGAATTGGCTTCTTTGGAAGATTTGATCGGAAGTTGAGGCGTGTTCCAAAATACGGGTCACCAATTGTAGCGTGGCGTCGAGTTGAGATTAACTGTGAACACCGCTACCAGGAAACACGTGCCAGACAAATCAGAAGGCGAGAGTTGAATGTAACCAGATATATTTCGTTGGCGATCTCGTGGTATTGAACGAATACCGAGATCGTGCCAAGAAGAGGTACAAGCGAAAGCAGAAGACAGGAGTACGTGCGAACAGTACCAAAAACCGCGGAACAATGATGGAAGGTAATGGAAGCACAAAATGGCTATAATTAGCACAGTTAAACAAAAGCACATTAAAACAAACACTGGTACAGTTGGTTGTAATAATAATTGTTTTTATTAAACCAGTCGTGTTCTCGTGATAAACGTGAGTCACTACAGCTTCGATAATAAAAGGAAGACAGCCAATTGTATATCACAATACTGTTTCTAGCACTATATTTTATTTTATAATCACACATAATCCCATACTCTCAGCTCCTTTCCGAATCGCCTCCATTTGTCAGTTGTATGTCAACTCACACCTTGTTAACACTTATTTTCTTGAACCTATTAAAATGCCTTTTCTTAACAAATACCTCAATAAAAGAAAATTACATATTACCTCTGCGAACGCGTGGTAAACAGCTGTTAGCTCCCTGTGACTGAGGCAAATCATAGATATGTTCCCATGTTCATTGAGTACTTTTACTTCAGTGTTTGCTTGAACAAGCTGCAAAATGTCATTGATATTTTTAGTGTCTAATGTCAATTAATTACAATGTGAGTTCAACAACCTGGGTACAACTGTTAACGCATTTTGACGAAATCGTCCTTGGTAAGCTGTTTATGGAACTTCCAAGAAACCAGATGCCGTAAGCTACGAGTTAGAAGCGTTCTTAAATATAAGCGTTCACTTGACGTCAACTGTCGTCTCGACGCATTGACAGAAATATATCCTTCTGTGCAAGGATGGTTGTACGCGGTCTTAATAGACGTGACTTTCAGCTGACCATTTACTGCGCGGACCCAAAATCCAGATTGACAATGGCAATATTTCGACATGAAGGATAAATTTATTTGGAGTAGAACATACGTAGAAGACCGACGTCGTCTTCTTTGTCTAGGTTGTGGTGACGAGTTGGAAGTTGTATGCTGTTTGAAAGAATGATGATCACTATCAACATCTACATCCTGAACGCAAGCATCTGACTCTGACGAACTGCGTTTACGTCCATATGTACAGACATATCTCACGAAAAAATACTTTAGAGTTGGGACATCATTGTTCTTTTTACAAACTGACATAACGTACTTAGTATGCGTATACTAGAAATATAATTATTAACCACAAAAGTCATGCTACCTTATGGGACGTGTGAATTAGTTAGTCTCCGCTTGAAATGCAAGGGACAAGAGCTGCTGATTGGTTTAGTCTATCGCAGTCCAAGCTGTTAGGTAAATGAAGTCCTACTAAGCAGTCTCAATACTTGGTCACAAAGTGGTCGATGTCTAATCCTAGGGGACTTTAATGCACCTATGGTAGACTGGGAAAATCTGCGAACTGAATCGTCAGAAAATTCCTTCGAGCAGGATTTAGTTGATGCGGTTATCACATGCACTCTAGTGCAACATGTGAAAGAAGTGACTAGGTACGACCCGGACGCTGAATCATCCTTACTAGATCTGATACTCACTCACTATGAAGATGACGTTGCGAACCTTCATTATATGCCACCCCTAGGTAAAAGTGATCACGCAGTTTTAATTTTCGACTTCCATATAACTGTCAGTCACGAGCATGCGTCAGCCCAATCCAGACCTAACGTCTGGAGAGCAAATATACCAGATATCATGCACTCAGCATCGTTAGTAGATTGGACAGTAGACCCATAGTCCTCATTTGAAACGGTCTGGGACGCATTTCGAAGTTCATACTTAAAAGTTACCACACCCCACATCCCTTGGACTATACCAAGGGGGCCGAGAACTCCCCACTGTGGTTCAGTAGGGAGGTCCGCATCCTTCTCCGTAAGAGAAGGAAAATGTGGGAGAGATTTAGGTTACTGGGGACTGATGAAACTAGATCCCAGCATAGAAAAGTCCGGAATACCTGTGCCTCGACCCTCCGTAAGTCTAGAAAGTTGTACGAAGAAAAGATTGTTGAGGAATCCATAGAATGTCCTAAACGCTTGTATTCTTATATAAACCAAAGGACAAAGAGAATAGGAAATATTCCTGCTCTATGGAGAGACAGTACTGCCGCGTCACTAGTGGAGGACGACTTCGGTAAGGCTCAGTTGTCCTAGAACTACTTTAGCAATGTATATACCATAGAAGCACCCTTCCCGTCAGCGCATACAAATCCCCTCACACATAAACTGGATAGCGTGACCATTAAAGAACTCGATGTCTTTGGTCTACTAAATAAGCTTGATATAGGTAAATCTGTAGAATTATGGTCTACTATGATATTAGTACTGCTCTAATAATAGACCTAATCCTAAATTTGTAGATTCGTCATAATATAACTGCCTAATCTATAAGATCTTACGTGGAAGTCACACCATCGACTACACCAACTCACTGTATCGTATCAATTACCAATACATGATGTAGAACAAGATTAGGCTAGAGAGAGAACAATATATTTAATATGAATAGAAGATATAAAGTAACATTCATCAGAGACCACGCCTGCATGGCCGAGCCATGCCACTCGATCAACTCCAGTCCATTCAATTCATTCCCCGCGCCTTCTCCATTGTTAGGTATTTCTCCGCGTTAAATATTGGATATCTATTTTCCGAGTAGTCTTGTGTTCACAGCTTTGTGGATTGTGTGGCTATTGTCCAATGCCACTACAAATCCACGGGGCCCGATGAATTTCAATCTAGTCTACTGAAGGAATTATCTAACTTCGTTGCGAACCCTTTAAGTATATGCTTTAACGTAGCCGTAACGCAGGGTCGTTTACCGAAAGACTGGAGAAACGCCATAGTAGGTCCCGTCTTCAAAACAGGTACGAAACACAAACCTGAGAATTACCACCCCGTTAGCCTAATTAGTGTGGTTGTTAAAATCTTAGAAAAGATTTTTCGGAAGGAGCTGTTTAAGTATCTCGATAAAAACCGGATCCTTTCGGAGAAGCAGCACGGTTTCAGAATAGGTTACTCTTGTCTCGCTAGTTTATTAGTGGCTCGTGAAAGCTGGTGCGCTCTTAAGGACCAAAAGTTACCTGTAGACGTAGGCTTCATTGATTTCACCAAAGCTTTTGACAAAGTTCCGACCAACCGGCTGTTATATAAGTTAAGAAATGTCGGGACTGGAGGCAATCTATTTATGTGGATAAAAGACTTCTTAGTTGGGTGTCAACAAAGAGTTCGAGTGAACTCAAAGTTATCTAGCTGGGGAACTGTGCTTGGTGGAGTGCCCCAGGGCACAGTTTTGGGGTTAGTGCTATTCCTTTTGTATGTAAATGACCTTCCTCGTCTCCTATAATCATCGGCCTTGCTATATGCTGACGATGTCAAGATATGGAGAACGATACGATGTGTGTGTTGTGATGCATATCGGTCATCAAGGTATAGGTACATACACAATGAATAACACTGAGTTACATGTCGTCCAGACATATAATGACTTAGTAGTCATTGTTAGTCAAGACTTAAAGACTACTGCACACTGCCGTGCAATAGCCGCCAAAGATTTTAGAACGTTATGGTCTATGCGTAGGGCTTTTAGTCATGTCGACGCTAAGACGTTTTTAACTTTGTACACAGTGTTCGTACGTCCTAAACTTGAGTACTGCATACAAGCGGCCAGTCCCTGCTTTAAAAAAGACAGTGAGCTTCTGGAAAAGGTTCAGAGAAAGTCAACTAAGCTGATTCTCGGAATAGCGAAGCTTCTGTATGAAGCTCGACTGGCCAAGCTGAACCTTTTCCCGTTGTCATATCGTAGAACTAGAGGCGATTTGATTAAAGTTTTCAAGTTGCTTAGTGCCGAATTTGCACCTGATATGCCCTCATTTTTCTTGTCTCACAAAACAGAGAATTTACGTGGACACTCCAAAAAAGTTCACAGGTCAAGAACAAATTACTTGTCAGCTGACTATCGACTTTCCCATCGAATCATCAACGAGTAGAACTCATTACCTCAGCACATGGTTGAGGCTCCATCCGTCGATTCTTTCAAAAGAAAGTTGGATCAACTGAGAGACCACCATTGCCAGGACTAACACAGGCCATCAGGCCTCCTGTCCTTCCCAAACTGAAACTGAACTTTCAAACAGGTCTCAACATTGTCCCAACTTGTAAATCTTCGAGATAACATAATATCATTGAAGATTCGTCCTACATCATGCATCATCACAATGGCATCGTCTTCGTTACTTGAAGAATGGACGTTATCAGACATGGTGCGGCTGAACTGAATTCAAATCTAACAATGTCTTGATTTGACCGCTTCTGAAAAACCGCGAATTGTCGATGTGACGCACCAATCATCTTGCGACAATTTGACCTTCAAGTGCTCGCAACCACCTTCAGTGGACGATACCCCTGGGGCGTAGCCGAAGCGTGTGGCTCACACACAAGTGTCTAATAAGCGTGTTCGATTCTGTCCAACCATAATTGTCTTCTGAGCAGTAGCTGTGAATTGTTAAACCAACTGTTAATTAATTATGATATTAGATTGAGCATAATGTACTAGGTAAATTAGTTGTGTGACCAACAACTACCTGATAGTTTAGTTATTATACTAGTACAGTATGATAGTAACTAAGTTCTATGGCTTTATTATGTAAACTATCTTCATATTTTTATGCAACTAATATGATAGACTGACTCATAAACCCAAATACATATAGCAATGACGGCTATAACTGGTTTAGTTAATAACGTTAAAGGCGACTCAAATGATTGTTAAATTTAAAATACATAGAAATATAATGCAGCGCATATACAGGTCAGGTTAACGTGCTAGTTAGTTAGGAATATGACAGTTTAGAAATATTAAACTTGGCTAGAAAAGTTTTTGAAAGTTGAGACGACTTATGGAACTATAGTTAGGAATACGACGAATTACGATATAGACTTTTCATAAGAAGTTACTGTAGTTGGTTTGTGACGTTTATAAACATGTGGCAAGGGTAATTGGAACTAAGGAGTACCAAATAATTTTTGAATCTAATACGTCTCGTCTGTAAACACTTTTGTGGTAGTATGTAGTATAAAGCTATTAAATATATCTTATACCAAAAACGTCTTGGGAGTGGTTTGTATGAAATATATACGGTTAGACTAAGTGAAAGTATATACATGTTAAGTACCAAAACAGTTGGTGACATTTCAGACTTCTACCAATTGAAATGGTTAGGATATGTGTAAGTTACCCCGAGCTACCACTTATATCAACGTGCTGTACTGACTAGTTCAAGATTAAATCGAGAAACGACTAGAAATTATCAGCCGAAGCATCATTAGCCATTATTGACTTTTTCTGAGGCTTATTGAGAAATTCAAATAATCCGATAACTGTCTGCTACTTGACTGTGATCAATGATAATGTTAAATAGAAACAATGATAACTAATTTTTCTACAAAGGATATTACTTCACTGTATAACTTTGGATATGAAGCATCTTTAGCTTCATAACACATTTACTGATCAATGTTTTTGGTATTGCTAATTCTCGATCATCATTTCAAGTGTCTAGGTTTGTGTTTCTTGTAAGTTTGAGAAATTAATATCATGTAGTTTACAAGTGCACTGATTAAATCCAACAATTTGCAGGTTTATGGGCTCATACTGATAATGCTAATAACATTACTGATTTTCTCAGAGCGAAGTAATTATAGTGGATCGGAATCTCTGGAATCCAGCAGTTGTTTGTCATTACTCTACAATGTCAAACACATCATGAATACAGCTAGGACAATTGTTAGTCTGATTCGTATATTATAATTGTTGCAATTTGATGTTAGATTTGTAAGTAAATTTTATTTGGAACCTAGTTCTAATTTTACAGTTTATATCTTATCAAGTTGATAAATATCTACTAAACCGAATTCTCCAATAATTTATTTTGTTCATACGTTTCCCCCCCCCCCCAGCTAATAGGTATTCCAATTATTACAACGTCTAAGTCCGATTATGTGGTATGTTTAACTGTTCATAATTTTAAATTAAATAATTCTCTAGTTCTATTCATTCGTTCACAACAAATCAAATCGAGAAATTACGTGAATCTCTTCTTCTTTGGTATGACAGATCCAAACGTGATTTGCCATGGCGTCGAATGGTATGAATTTTAATTGTTATCTATATTTCAAATTATTTTATTATATAGGCCTTGAATCCAGATCCCAATTTACGCGGTTACGCTGGTATGTTTAATCATTCTTTAGATTTTTTGTTTCATATTTTTTGTATGTGTTTAGTTTGGGTATCGGAAGTTATGCTTCAGCAGACTCAAGTAAAAACAGTTATTGATTATTATGATCGATGGATGAAAGTTTGTTTGATAGTTTGATCCGTTCTTTAAATCATATATCTATCATTATAGAAATGGCCTAGTGTTGATCAACTAGCCTCGGCTTCGTTAGACGTATGTATATTAATTGGTCACCTACTTAGAGCTATAATTGTATTGTAGGATGTCAATTCTCTATGGTCTGGACTAGGTTATTATTCCAGAGCTCGCCTACTACATAAAGGAGCGGAAAAGGTTAATTTTTTAAAATCGAACTCATTTTGTAGATTGTCAATGAATTTAATGGTATTTTCCCTCAATCTGCCGAGGTTTTAAAGCGTTCGATACCTGGTGTTGGACGTTATACAGCTGGAGCGATTGCAAGTATTGCGTTTAATCAGGTAATGTTTTACACACTGAATTAAGTCCAACGTTGTTACTATTATATTAGTACCATTTTTATTATAACTAGTGAATTGGAATGTGATAATGTAACGTATATCAAGTAAACGTTTACTTACTCAGTTTAGGACTACACCTTTTACATGTAAGGACTAAGTACACTGCGTCGCTTCTGAAACCAAAGTGAATAGGGTTCAAACTTACAGTGGTTACCAAAGTAGCATCGGTTCAAATTCACGCTGCAAATCATCATGACAAATACCGTAGTTGCAGAAGTAGTTACAGTATCAGTAATAACAGTAGACATTAGTCACTAACAACACGCGTTGAGAAGGAAAAACAGATTTGCGTGATAAAAAGTATAGACATTTTAAGACAAAGGGTAAATACATCTGTTCGAGATAGAGAGAAAGATTTAAATATGAATGTGATTCTGATAAAGCTCCTGGCGTTGATCTCGTTACAGGTAAAAGCCCGACCATAACTGCTACCTTGATGTGATGGTTAGACGTGCCTTTCATGGTGACCCAACTGAGCTGTATTGGCTGAAACACATGTTCCTTTAGGTCCCACCACTCCAGTCATGTCGGTTGGAAAACGGTAAGGCTAAAAGTAGTAACTTAAGGCCCGATGGCTAATTCATACCTCTAGTTTTAGAAGGGTGTGACAACAGTAAAGTGTTTCCCTCGGGCAACCATCATCTTCACAGATGCTGCTTTTTCGCCACGCAAGGAACGACTTTGAAAAGGTTTACCCTTAAAATGCCACATCTTACCTAGCCCCACAGATTTGCATCTCCGACCTTAAGGCCTTTTGAAGTTTGGAGCTAACACGTCAGAAACTTCTCATAAAAAGGCTGTGCGCAACCGACCTCAAGCAGTTGTCTCTTGGGGTCTGCGGTCATGTTCCCAGGTCACTAAGACCACCAAGAACGATAGACTCATATAGGCCATATTTCCACCAGACATCGTCGGAGAGGCGCTAAAGGAGACTGTCGCTCATTCTGGAGCACATGATTAATTACAAGCATGTGCTTGTCAAAATCTTACTAGATGTGAAAAAGTCAAAAATGTATTTCAGGAACAAATAGAGCAACAGTTAGTCGATCATTTAGGTGACATTCTCGAGGTAGCTTGACACGATATTAAAACAGCAGTAACATCTGTCATTAACTAAAACCAAAAGGTTAGGAGCCATTATTTTTTTTAGCCTCTACCGAACTGATAGGCGTTTAGAAACTTGTCCTGGCGGATTCTGAATGCTGAAAAGCGGAGGCAACTTAAACAAAGTTAATAGCAAGCTTACTCAATGATCGTACTGGGTACTGGGTAGCAAAAGCAAAAGAAGTGGGAAAAGCAACAGAAATAGGTAATGATGAACGACTATTCAGACTTATCAAAGAAACGAGTATAAAAGGTCCCCCTGTTATTGAAACAATCTCGGAAAAAGATGTGGCCATTATTCACTTTCAGTTCAGAAGATTAAACATGATCGGAACACTTAAGTGAACAGTTAAACTAGCCTTCAGTCACACTTCAATTACCCACCATCTCCAAGCAGGCTGAATGGTAAACTGATGCAAGTCCTCCGACTTTTACTGAGGTATCGTTCTCATAGAGGTTTTTCCATCTTTACTATCCATTGTCATTGCATTTTTCGAACTTAGTGACTCACGATTCGTCTTGGTTTTTTATTCGACTGTTTTGGTTGTTGGTTTTTTCCTTTGCGAAGTTTTATTCCAAGTTGTGTAGAAATCACTAAGCGATGACTCGACAGTCTGAAAAGGTAATTGTCGATGCAAACTGATTGGCAAATTGACAACTATTTGTAAGGTTAAAAGGGCTATAGGTAAAATAAAGCGAAGGAGCGCATCAGGGCCTGATAGGTCAACTCAGTAAGTATTTATGAATAGTGATTCGGTTTCACCAAACAAATTAACTGAGATCTTAACCAGAATTCGCAATCTGGATGCAACCTCATCAAACTGATCTCGATCGCAGATCGTCTCAGTTTATAAAAAAGGACAAAATTCAACATGTGACAATCACAAAAGGATCAGTTCGGCTAATACAGTATCTAAAATATTAGCTTCAATAATACTCAGATGCTTAACTTGAGCTCATAAAGATCGAACCCAAGAGAACCAGTTTGGTTCCAGACGTGGATATGGTTACATAGATCATATATTCACTCTTCATCAGGTTCTGGAACAGTTTTCGGCGTCCAACTATAGTTGTATTCTTTGACCTTAAGGTGGCGTTTGACTCTGTTGATCACGAGGTTCTATGTCAGTGTCTATCATTGAAAGACGTACCAAAGAGGTACACTAACATTATACAGGCTCTCTACTCGAACACTTCTGGTCAAGTCAGACTTATGGGGGACTGTCATCGGAATTGCTTACTGCAAGTGGTCTTCATCAGGGTTGTCCGCTCTCCCCATTTTTATTTAACTTTGTCTTAGACAAGCTTTTAAAAGTAACATTCTCATTGTCTGACTTCCGAGGGGTTGATTTTCTACCACGAGATTCACTTGTTGTCTTGGTATACGCAGATGATACAGTTTTGTGGTGAAGACGCCGATAAACGTGGTTTTCTGACTACCTTAAGCAACAATCCAAGCATGTTTGGCATGAGAATCTCTCCCTCCAATTATGAAATATCACTTCAGGATTGGCTCGAGTCAGCACCTGAGTTAATGGTAGAGATCGAAGTAGTTTAGTGTGTCAACCGTTTCACTTATCTTGGGAGTCTCATCAGTTCTGATGGTTTGGTGTTTGACGAAATTTCGGCTGGGATTCAGAAGGCTCGATTGGCTTTTGTGAACTTGCGTCACTTGTGTTGTAGGCAAGATACCCATCTTCCAACCAAAGGATGAGTTTACTGCTCAGCAGTTCATTCTGTCCTAAACGATGGGTGTGAAACTTGGTCATTAAGAATGTAGTATATTGGTAAGTTACTAGTATTTCATCATATGTGTCTTCGACGTATTGCTCGTGTATTTAGGGACCACGGAGTAAGTAATCCTTGGGATAGGAATAGGATACCGTATGAGGATGGCAAGTTGATTGATGAGATAGTAAATCACCATCAACTAAAGTGGTTGGGACATGTGTTACTTATGTCCAACTACTGCCCAACTCGACATGTGGTTTTGTTTGGGGTGGACGTATGTTGGAGCAACCAAATCAAAACATGGTGTCAGTCCATGAGGTCACTTACAGTTGGACTTCGACATATCGATAGGTACAGACTACCTTGTTGGTGTCCGAATGATTATCATAATCAATGTTTAGAAACTGATTGACGCTTCTCGAAATCGTTTGCAATGGAGCAGTTTCATGCATTTTTGTCTTCTCTCGAATTCTGAGATTCTAAATCCCTCATAGCTATTCTTTGTTTTCATTTCTCTATTTTACACAGTTTTTTCGAGTGGTATCTTCGATGCTTAATCTTTCCTATCACCATTGACACTGTTACTACCTCTACTATTCTGGGATTTGACCTGACGACTTCATTTTTCTGTTCTAACGGTGTATGACAACTTGAACCGATATACATAAGTACCAGGTTCTTCATTGTGACTGGCTAATATCTATTCTACTGAAATTGACCCTGAGTTATTTCACCGGTCATCCTCAATTACTGATTATCGCAGGTGTGCTGAATCCACCAATACATTTGTTCATTAGTTAATAGTTAATTGCTTTAACCACTAGTCTAACGTTTCTTATTTTTAAAAGCAGTGAATTCGATAATAGTACCAATGTACAAGTGTTTTATATTATTTTCATTTCAGTGTACTCCTGTTTTGGATGGAAATGTAATTCGTGTTCTAACACGTTTACGTCAAATTGGTTCCCCTGTACAATTACCTACTTCTATGGAATATTTATGGAATTTGGCAACTAAGCTAGTCGATCCTGATCGACCTGGAGATTTTAATCAAGCTTTAATGGAATTAGGTGCAGTTTGTTGTACACCGAAAAACCCTGATTGTATGAAATGTCCACTTAATAAAGTTGGTTTATGTGAATCATATAAACAGGTAGGTTGACAATATTATCCTGTTTCGTTCAAGTTAAAAAATTTTCCATTCTTTTTGTTTTTTTATATAGGCTAATGCAAGCAAAAGTGATTACATTTCAACTGATCTTGAAGATTGTCATTTGTGTATTAATAGTAGTGTTTATCAAAAAAGGTAATATATTTACTGTTTGTTGCTTTGATTTGCATAATTTACATCTTGACCTTAAACCTGTCATTGTTTACTTCTTTATTTTGGTTATATCTCATATTGGTTTGGTTTTTGGTCTTATATTTGTCCATAATTTTTTCTGATTGTTTGATAAATTGGATCAACAGTAACCAATCAAGATCAACGTCTACAGAACCAGCTGTGAACTATGTGTGGAGAAATTCGAACACTTCATTTCTACCTGAAGTTTGTGCTGATGATGTCGTTCAGAATAACAATGAAATCTCCACGACCAAACCATCCAGCTCAGAGAATAAAACTCCATCAAAATCATCCACCTGAGTTATAAATCTTCTCCACCATCTCATTATCGACAGAATTTATTTTTATTTATTTCAACACATAGATAATGGTACACAGGAGGCCCCAAATACATATGCGCCACACAAATCTCATTCGATATGTGTGAGGGCTGTGATACTGCCCGGGTGCCCAAACCGAAGCAGGTGGTTTTCTTAGGGGGCCACACCCCGAGCCTTCGACCTGAAGGTCTGATCCACAAGGCAGTGGAGCATCGTAAGGAGATGCAGTCTCATGGAAGCCGGTGACCAACAATTGGTTCGTACGCCATTTGTTCCCGCAGGATACTGGAGCCCATGTGCACCATTGGTTTGGAATCCGGTTAAAGCACCGGACATCCGCCTTTCGTCCTCTCAATTTCGTAAACAACACCCCGGCCACGAGAAGGTAGTGAGTAGGACTTCCCTGGCAGAGGCTATATACGCGTGGCCGTGTGAGAGCATTTCGGGAGGGAGAGCGAACTCTCCCCACTCTCGGCTGTACCAGGGCATTTGGGGGCCATCGACAGAATAGAATAAAGTTGTCGGTGTTGAAATGTCTAGTGTGTAGTGTTTCTTTAACTCAGTTTATGTGTCGATTGTAACTAAATGATCAATAGTCAGAATAAATATAGATAACGTGAAGTATGAGAAATAATAATGTAATGTTTCGTCGAAGACTTATCAATATCATGACAAAATTCCCATGATGTTATTAGAGGGCGAATCACTAAGTAATTTAACCAGCGACGAAGTGTAGCTCTATCTTAACGCACCCAGTTGATAGTGATCTTCTGGTAGATAAACTGAATCAAGGCGATTGATCTATCGTACATCTTCGTCGTTTCCCTATAGGATCCCATCTAGTCTACTAAATATATATGAAAAGCGAATTCAGCGAAAAAATGTTCTTTTTGACGAAATCATTTACTTAAGCTGTACATTCGTATATATAGTTATATGGAAAATATATGTGTATACAAGGATAGAAAAGACTGCATTACAAAAATGCATTCAAGAATAAATAACAAATGAGGTTACGTACTAATCAAGGGGTAAGGAAGAAAATAATTTATGGGTCAGATAATAGTCCAATTGACAGATATGAAGAAAAGCGACAAACAAAAAGGTCATAATAATAACTGATTAGAGTTAAAAATGCAAAACAGTAATTGAAAAAAATTCAATAATAATCAAATAAAAGTGCAGAAAAGCAAGAAGGAAAGAAAACCCAGAAACATACCCATCAAAAGAACTAGGGTCAAGTACGGATGAGACGTTGGACGAATCGTTTCCACACGCAAAGTTCAGGCTTGAGTTCATGGATTGCCAATGCCTCAGCAGTGCATAAAATATTGATTCGGCCCCACTTCGATCCAATTCCTTTGACTCTGTAGATTACTTTAAAAGAGTCCTTTGGAGCGATGTGTCCACAGATAATATTAAATGCTCCTGTATCGAACTAGTAATTGTTCTGCATTCTCCTTTTAAGAGCCAAGCCGGATAGTGTTCCGAGATGCGTTTGGACAGCGATCGCTTTGTGCGGCCTATGTAACGTGCCCCACATGAGCAAGTAAATTTGTAGATACACATTGATGTGGCCCAAAGTGGAAGTTTATCCTTAACACATCCCCGAATGGTAGGTCGGCTGGAGAAAACAATTCGGAGCTTAGCTGCATAGAATGTTTTATTCAACGATTTTGAAATCCGTTTATTTAAGATTTCAGCAGCCATGTCTCCTTTAAATTCCATATTCATAAAAAGAGTTTTCTTCTCTACTGTCGATGCTTTGTCATGAAGTCTAGGTGCCAAGTTTCTATCAATGAATCTCGGTGGATAACCATTTTTGATGAGGGTCTGTCGACGATGAAATAATTCCCCATCTATTGTGTCATTGGAATAAATTCGCTTGGTCCTTGAGGATAAAGAATGAATTAAGTTCCTTTCTCTACTTAATGGAACCCAACTATGGAAGTTCGTGTATTGTCCTGACGGTTTTTTTACATAGATCGATATATAGAAAACCCACTTGGAATGGACAATACACGAACTTCCATAGTTGGGTTCCATTAAGTAGAGAAAGGAACTTAATTCATTCTTTATCCTCAAGGACCAAGCGAATTTATTCCAATGACACAATAGATGGGGAATTATTTCATCGTCGACAGACCCTCATCAAAAATGGTTATCCACCGAGATTCATTGATAGAAACTTGGCACCTAGACTTCATGACAAAGCATCGACAGTAGAGAAGAAAACTCTTTTTATGAATATGGAATTTAAAGGAGACATGGCTGCTGAAATCTTAAATAAACGGATTTCAAAATCGTTGAATAAAACATTCTATGCAGCTAAGCTCCGAATTGTTTTCTCCAGCCGACCTACCATTCGGGGATGTGTTAAGGATAAACTTCCACTTTGGGCCACATCAATGTGTATCTACAAATTTACTTGCTCATGTGGGGCACGTTACATAGGCCGCACAAAGCGATCGCTGTCCAAACGCATCTCGGAACACTATCCGGCTTGGCTCTTAAAAGGAGAATGCAGAACAATTACTAGTTCGATACAGGAGCATTTAATATTATCTGTGGACACATCGCTCCAAAGGACTCTTTTAAAGTAATCTACAGAGTCAAAGGAATTGGATCGAAGTGGGGCCGAATCAATATTTTATGCACTGCTGAGGCATTGGCAATCCATGAACTCAAGCCTGAACTTTGCGTGTGGAAACGATTTGTCCAACCTCTCATCCTTCCTTCGAAATAGTCAGCTCTTCCCTTTAAATGCTATCTATCATATGACTACGCGTATATATCCACTGTCCTGCTCATTCTCTTCTAGAGAAACAAGTGTTGATTCCGAAATTGGAAGAAACATAAGCGAACATTCAGCTCTTAAACCAGATTGGTGGGTACGGACGACCCTCCTAGAAAAGTTGGAAAACCCTGATTCCAAATCTATGGTGCACGTGTGATACAGAATCCTGAGGGAATAAACATCATATGAACCTAATCTCGGCCACTGGCTAGTATAAGATTGAATCTTCTAACATTGTACCACTGTCATGTGTATTAGGTTGTGAGTCGAAAACATATGGAGTAGTAGCACCCCAAGAAAACCACCTACTTTTGTTTGAGCACCTAGATAGTAGCTCAGACCATACACAAATTCAATAATTTGTGTTGCGCCATATATATCTTGTTGCCAACTGTATCAGTGTTTATGTGTTTAAATAAATGGTGATATTCCACATTACTTACGTCTGTTACCTCTTGTGGAGGAGCATAGACCGCTCACTAGGATTGATAATCCATGTAGAATAACATAGAGGCGAATAACATTGTTTTTAGTCAGATCGTCTCTTTCACGGAGCCTCCTTATACGGCAATATTTATATGGATATATGAAAGCACCAAACCAATCAAGGGAATTAATGAGACCATGGCTACAATTTCTTAACTTTATGTCATAAGTGAAAGGTACAAATTGATAGTAATAAGTCAGGAGTACTAATAGTAGTGATAAGAATAATAAAACAAAAAAGTTCTAATCATTAATTCAACTTAAAATGTAGGTCAAGCTTAGACGAACAAACTTAAAAAAAACGACGAAACATTGAAATTACGCAATGAAGTTTAAATAATTAGATAGTGAAGGATATAGACCGGAAGAGGCGAGAAATGACAAACAAATACATGATATAAAAAAAGTTAATTAGGTCTTTTATGAAGTCATATCTGACCAAGAAAGGTCAGGGTGTCACGAATTTCGTTTGACCATATGAACTAGGGTTATAGGTTCAGATCTTTATAGCTATATATAGAAGATGGGGTCGAAATTCATTAGGGAATGACGATGGTATCTGTTGGATCACCACACGATCATGACCAAACGTGATAAAGTAAAGTCCTTGTTTGATCCTTTCCAAATCATTATAAGAAATGTTCACTTATTGGTTAGTACGTCTAATATAGCTATCTCAAGAGCAGATAAATTTGTTGATACATATCAAAGAAGCAAATCCATGTTTGAGTGAACATCACCGGTTAACTAGGAAGTGCTAACGTGAGTTTAGTTGTTATTCTCCTAACTGTACTCACTAATCTACTGTACGAAACGTCACTATCTACATTCTCGTTGAACTGTAGTTAGACTAAAATCTCCGAGCGGTCTATATTTCCAGTTTTTCTTCCTGTTTACATATGTTCTAAAAACTTGGTAAGTAGTCCATTTCCATCAGAGTGTTATTGAAAGCTTCAAGTCCTTACTTATGGCTTCATCTGGGCAGATCTTTTTTTATCCTTTTTGTAAAGTATCTAACCAGATTACTTTTGTAATGGGTAGATATCAGGCTACGGAAGTCTGTATCTCAACACCCAGAAGCGCTCTCTCTATACACCCTTCTGTCTAACTAACTGTCATCCTGTCTACCAAATGAAATGTCATGGTAATTTAATGTATTCTCATACTCATCCTCTCAAGTGAAAGTGATTGCCGAACACACCATGTCAAACTGATTTAGGATTTCTTTTTGTTGATATCGTAACCTATGATGAGTGTTTTGTCTATCTAATGTTTGCATAGATCTAGTTTATCGTTGACCTTCTTGAAGGGTTCATTTTTCTAACTGGTCGAATTGAAAAGATTTTTGTTCGTTCACATGTGTTCTGATTTATTTATCATTATTCTTATATAGTCTTGGAGTAATGAATTATCCTGTGAAACTTAGCAAACGTGAACCTCGTAAACAAAATACAGTTATTCTAATCACACATACTTCGAGAAAAGAGAATGAAGCACTAAAAAATTACTACCTACTTTTACAACGACCTAAAACAGGTATGTATTTGTTAAATGATTCAATTTTCTTTCTCTCCCTATATTCCTCATGTAATTCTTTCTTGTAGTATGTTGGTATATAATTCCTTAGTCTACTGTTAGTGTTTGCTGTTGTAAGAGGTTGGAAGTGAGTTAGGCTCTCTCAAACTAAGATGCGACGTAAATTTATCAAGTTGCTGACTGTTGAACTGACCTGTGTAGGTAGGTAGGCAGGTACAAATCACCTTGTTGCTATCAGCGCGATATTCGTAGCATGTAGTTAACGTGGATCAGAATCCATCTCAGTGAAGTAGATGCACTCTTTTTTTACCTATGATACTTATACTTTGTATCCCATAGTTTCTTTATTCCTTTCCGAATCATGTTGTCTACACCTAATGTTTTCTGCTATTATTGACACGATGACTACTTCTTGTACTCTGGTATTTATATTGATATTTGATCTGATGTGGGAACTTGTGCAGAGTTGCATAAATTTGTATGATTTTATGTCACTTATAGCTTACTTGATGAGGTTAGATTTCTCAATTTACTGATCAATTACAAAATGTATCCTTTTTAAAACTCATCAATATTGTCTTGTGTTACATCCGAACGATGACTAAGGGAATAAGTGGTGGTGGCGTGAGTGATGAGGTCAATGCACGTATAGTGAAAGCCAGAGCGACTTATACCAATCTGGGCTACTTTTGGCGCCTTCGTGATGTCGGTCTGGCTGTAAAAGTTCGGATCTAAAACGCGTCGGTGAGAGCAGTTTTGCTCTATGCTTGTGAAACCTGGCCTCTCCGAGTTGAGGACGTTAGACGACTCTCTGTGTTCGATCATCGCTGTCTCCGAAGGATTGCTGACATTCAGTGGCAACACCATGTCAGTAATGCAGAGGTTCGGCATCGTGTGTTCGGGCACAGAGATGATAATGCAATTGGTGTCACCATCTTGAAACACCGACTTCGGTGGCTTGGATATGTTCTACGAATGTCATCCCAGAGAATTCCACGTCGTGCATTATTTGCCGACTCTGGGCTGGTTGGAAGAAGCGGAGAGTTGGTCAGTGCATGACATGGTGTTGTGGTATGAAGAGTTTTAAAGGGCTGGCTTTTGTCGGTCCTTCACGACTCCCTGGCTGGGGTCCGAGAGATGGTGCTACACAGTGGCTAGAGACGTTATCAGATATGGCTCAGAATAGAAGCCAGTGGCGATCCTGCTGTAACCTTCTTTTACTTTCTTCATAAAAAGTGGTTGTTTCTTCCTTAACTGAAAGATTTCTTCTGATTGTACCTTTCCGTTCCCTCATTACTACCACACTACCTTACACCAATCTCTTCGTTATTGTTATCCTTTTTTTACGCTCCTTATCTTTTTTTTCTTTTCTCTTCGAATTCTCATTGTTTTGTGTGGCGCATATATATTGGCGCTCTCTTGTACCAATATTTATGTGTTCAAATACATAAAATAAATAAATACATCACGAAGGCGCCAAAAGTAGCCCAGATTGGTATAAGTCGCTCTGGCTTTCACTATACGTGCATTGACCTCATCACTCACACCCGTCCCAGCACTTATGCAGCTACCTAGATACACGAACTTCTCGACTACTTCTATCTGCTCACCATCCAGGGTGAGTACAGGATTAGAATCCTGCCAGTCTCGTAGAAGTACTTTGCACTTCGAAGGTGCAAAGCACATACCATACCTGCGGACACTGATTGCCAACTGATTAAGTGCGGATTGCATGCCTTGGGCATTATCGCACAGTAAGACAATATCATCCGCATACTCAAGGTCGAGTAGTTATTCTCCAGGCAACAGATCCGACTACTTATGTCAATATAAGTAGCACACACCACAGTTATTGTTCTTCTTGTTTTCCCTTTTTATACCCTTCTTACCTTCATTTTTCTCATCCCATCCCCATTGTTTTGTGTGGCGCATATGTATTTGCTGCCCCCTTGTACCAATATTTATGTGTGCGAATAATAATAATGGTAATAAAGAATAGTAACTTCCAGGATATATATATATATATATATATAACGATCTTGGACTAGTGATCACATGTTTTGTGTTCTTTCTCTTTGTTCGGGTCTAATTAGTACTGAACCAAACGGTCAAGGTTCTCGTCCTTGTTGCGTATTGGTCTGTGCTAGGATATAGCATCTTGTATTCCACAATCAATATCTTTATAACTAATAACTGTTGCAATTGGAGAAAAGTTTTTATAATTTACTTGTTACCTCATAGAATATACTCTGCAGCTGCTACTTCGATGTAGTGATCGGGATAGTTGTAAATTTTTCAGTAATTATAATAATTGCTTAAGGCATCAACTTACGTAGTAGGTTTGACTGTAAAGCTATCTTATGTCACATGTTGGAAACCTGTGAATATATGTTACCCCTGACTGGTAGCCTTCATGACCTTAGGGAATGACAATGAAGCTTAAGAGATAGCTGTTTGTGTCAGGGTAGCACACGACCATTTTATGACTAGGTTTTGTTTTGTTTACTCTACAATATCATGGCGTTACCGTCGGGGACGGAAATCATCCGTGCACAAATTGAGGTGTATTATTTTCAGGATCAAACTCTTCTAACCATCATAAACAGAGATCATCTCTACAGATACAATTCGATTCATAGTTTTTTTTACAAATTCAATATGTGTACTTATATTAACAATACAAATCTCAAACAAATAAACATTCTTATGCATGAATTCTCAGGTCTTTTGGCTGGTTTATGGGAATTTCCAAGTTATACTATTGAAGATGATAAATTGACGAGTGAAATTCAACAATCATTTATTCCTTTAGTTATTGATCGAATTACAAATGCGTTGAATTCCTCACTGAATATAACTTCAATTAATGAATTAAATGTGAAACCTATTGGAGAGGTATGATATATTTTATAGCTTTTTGCAGATATATTAATCACAATAAAATATAAGATATAACGGTGATTCAGTCAGTCACTCAGCTACAACGTAGGACCAGGCACATATGTGCATCGGTCCAGGTTGCCATACCGCATCAGCACAGCAAGATGAACACCGGATTCATAGCAGTGGTTAGGTAAAAGGTAGTAATATATAAGAGAAAGATTGCATATAGAGATATAGTACAAGAAGAAAGAATTGGTTCGCAGAAAGAAAGATATGAAGTGATTTTAATCTCTTAGTTTAAGGGAAGACAGAGAGTGTATACACCGACGCCATTGTGATCGATTCTGAGCCATGTCACCAAGAGTCTCCAACCATTGGTTACGATTGTCACACGGACCCCAACCAAGAAGTCTGCATCTACCAACATGGCTCAGACTAGAAGTTAGTGACTTCAGGCACTGATACCACGTTTTGGTTTGGCCGCCCCTAACTTTCTTCCAACCATTTCCAATACCGGATAGCATTGCACGTCGTGGTAATCGGTGTTCAGGGATACGTAACACGTGGCCCAACCATCTCAGTCGATGAAGATTCATAACCTCATCAACTTATCTGCCATCATTTCCTAATACCCTGCATCTAACTTCACTATTACTATAGCTCGGTTGCTTCATCACGATAGGCAAACCCGACTTCCACGTCAAGGTAGCGACAACGGTTGGGAAATGAACTTTTAGAAGTGAGAAAATGTTTTCATTCACTTCTTTTAAAATTAGGTGTGTATTAACTGTGTATTGATGTTTAAAAATAACTTCGAACAAACAGAGAGCTGTTTTGTCTTTAGGACAAAATAACATTAAACTTTAAAATGTTAAATTTAATTGTAATAAAGATGTATCGTGAAGTTGTTTTAGAATTGGAAATTAAACTTCAAAATCTATTGGGTTACAGGTTCGAATCCAGTTCCATTTACTACTACTACTACGGTAGAGTTTTGCTTTTTTTTCTTTAATATAATTTCAATAAATAATCTATAAAGTCGAAGTTGTACCTGAGGTAACAAATGTGTTTGATTAGTGGAATGATCATTTGTAGATATCTAGTAGAATTTGTTAGTTCGTTTCATTATAGTACCACTTAAATAAGGGTACATCAATCATAAACATGTATTAATTGAATTGATCATTAAAGGATTACAATATATTTGTACAACATATGCAAGCGAACAATATTGTTTTCAACTTAGATCGTTATCAGGCTTTATTCTAACATACGAAAATGTTAAACCAATCAAGGCAATTTAGGCCAATAATTACCCTGAAATAGATTACATCACCGTACATAATTGATAAAAGTACAAGTTGATAGTAGTAGGAAGACAGGTGTACTGATAATAGTAAGAATAATAAAATACAATAACAAATGTCTTATCAATAGTTAAACATTGGAAATAGAAGGTGGCTATATGCGCGTAGTCATATGTGAGCGTTTGAAGAGGAGAGTAGACTCCACCGTCGACCGTATATGGGGCTGGATTTGTCGTCTTCGTCATATCTAAGTTATCATCATACTATGTTGACTGAAAACAACAGTTGGACAACATGTCGATATTCGTTATTAATAAGTTAAGCAAAACCACTTCAAACCTTTCCTGATATAATCAAAGGTAATTGAAAGATAGATATCTTTATAATCAATGTGAATTACTACATTTCCATTCTTCCTCTTTAATGACTCACATTAACTCGGCGCCCAAATATTGTGAAACTATTCGTTCAAATTTAGACAAAAGTTCTTATTCCATTGTTTTTGTTTATTAATATACAACTGTAGGGAGAGTCTTCCAGCTAGTTAATCTCTCTTCACTTTTAATGGGTTTAATGTGAATCCATATGATTTCCACTAATCTATTCTATTTTTCGTCATATATAAATGTCACGTGGAATATTTCGATAAAATCTTATCTAAACTAATAATTTCCTTGTTTCTATGTTTACATTTACCTACATTTACTGTGATAACTCTTCCCCATTCAGGTTCTACATATTTTCTCCCATATACACATGACGTATATTGTATTCGAGTTGAAAGTTGAACAACAACAACAACAAACGATTCCTTCTGAGTGTTTAAACAATTCTAATACTACTACTACTACTACTACTACTACTACTACTTGTGATTGGCCGCCAAGTTTAAATTCCGGTCGATGGGTTAGTCGTGAAGATTTAAATGACTCGGCTATATCCACTGCTACTAGAAAGGCAAGTTATGTTTGTATGTTTATTTGTGCATGTATGTGTGTTTTACATAATTTATAACCAGTTTTTATCTATTTACGAGAAAGAAACTTCATTATGTTTACACTTTCCATAAACAAACATTTCGACTTCGATTGAACTGTACTAGTTTAGAGTCTATTTAGACATCGCTGGGATCCACACATATCCAGTTAAAGTCCCCGAATGGAATGAAACGCGCATCCAACTGCTACTCAACATTCAATGTTAATTAAGACAAATTTCGATGAAACCAATTCCGTCCATTAGTTACTCATTAGTCATTGACTCATAATTACATTGAGTTTGAATGACAACTGACTGTGTATATTGCGGTGTTAAACTAATTTAACATATCACCGGTCACGAACGTTTACTCTTGATACGTGTTAGTGGTTAGAGCAAAGTGAAACGATAGTCCCCTGGTTGGTTCCATTAAAATTTAAGTTTCACGGTGCAATTTCTAACCGGACTCAACTTTTATTAGCTTAGACTGTTCGGCTAGCGTTTACTAACCCTCATACATATTCTGTATGCTCAAACATCTACCAAGCTATGATTTTTACTGAAGTCCGTTCTATTCTTCACTGTCCTGTTAATTCAAACTATTCAGGACAACTGTTGACTTGATCTCAAGATATATAATTATACTTTTTACTCATGAACACATCTCCATAGTTACACCTTTAAGTTTACAAGAAGCTCCTTTTGATCGCTCTAATAACTGAAATGCCAACCGTTTTGGTAAGACCAACATCCAACTACTTCGATTTTATGTTATGCGTGATTAGGCTGTGGCCTAAGGGTTAATACTTCGATCCATCTGCTTCTGTTTAGACAACTGGTTAGTATCTTAATCCCTCACACTTAGAGTGTGGCTCAAAATACCCGAATTCTTATCTAGTTGACCAGTTGGTAATTACTTCTACTCACAGGTTTCGGGGACATAATGTACAATTTTTTTTCGGTACACATTCACAATATTTTAAACTTGATGAAATAATGATCAAGATTTTTGTTTGTCATTTCCAGGTATTTGCTCATTTTGAAAACTCCAAATCATCACATTCTGAAGTAAGTGTTCATGTTCATTATTTAATTTTGACTTTAATCAATAAACTAGGGAATTGGACCTAATTATTTCACAAGTAAGCTGATATATTAGTTCTGAGATTACTGGAAAAGATAATTTTACTTTTCTATATACCGGAATATTGTTGAAAAATATCAACATAAAAAAATAGGGAGGAGGTTTTTTTTCATTGTTTATTTCTGTTACTAAGGTGATTGAAGGTCAGTCACGGACTATTTCTAATACAAATGGTTATATTTTAGCGAATTACTGAATGCATAAGCCACAAAATATATAGCGCACACATTTGAAGTAACCAGTTATCCATAAGTTATGTAGAACTTAGCACATATGTTCATCGGTTCGAGTTGTCGTATCCCAGAATAGTAGTACTAACATTTGAAGTGATAGTAGAAAAGCCTAGCCATAGTATGATTTAAGAAGAAAGAATAAATTTATAAAGTATGAAATGTAGTACCATCTTGAAAGTTGGGATCTAAGGGCAACTAAAAACTATATGCTCACTTACACCATTGTCCCTGATTCTGAGATATATCACCCAGCAATGCCATGTTCACACAAACTCTAACCAGGCAGCCTGCACCTACCTACACGTCTCAGTGTAAATAGTTAGTCAGGTTATCTACCTTACTGTCTTATGCTTAATGGATTAGTAACTTTATAATTAGAATACTCAAGTTTTAATTAGTAACTGGTAGACCCAAACTCAACAGCTACCTAGTTCGGTTTATGGGGACCTGATATTATCATTAGTCCCCTTACGAACAGTGTAGTTCATACCTTATTGCCTAATTGTGTATTTGATGTGTTGCATGTAATAGCGATCAGAATCCCGAAATTTGAATTTCTCATCAAAGGAAGAAATCAGTAGGTTGACCGTGTTCAATGGGCTTGGTGACAGAAGTAAAAATATGTGGATAGACTTTTTTCCTTGTTTAATCTCTGACTACACTTCAACCTGGTCAATTGGGAATTTTCATCTTCAATATTGCAATACTACAATTCTCTAGTTATTTCTAAAACAGTTTTAATTCACACTATATTTAATTTACATGTACCATGATAAACATGTAATTTATGAGGTATGTTTTTATCATTATTATTGTTTATTATTTAATTTCACTGATTGAAATCATGAGTCAATTGAAGCTAGACCACCGTTAGAAACCTGGAAGCACTGAACGGCCGTTTCATCATAGTATGGGACTCCTCATTAGTGCCCATTCACGATCCCGCACCCCGCGAGATTCGAACTCAGAACCTATCAGTCTCGCATGAGGCGCTTAACCAACTAGATCACTGGGCTGGGATCCAACGGTGCTTCCAGGTTTTCCATGGTGGTCTAGCTTCAATTGACTCATGATTTTAATCAGTGAAATTTCTGAAAATCTTCACAAAATCCCTTCTGATTATTTAATTGTCTACAGGTTGATAGAAATCAACGAAAAATCAAAAGAACCTCTACAAACAAACAATTATTGAATTCTAAACAATCAAAATTAGATCATTTCTTTCATTAGTGTGAGACTATTTTTATTCCAGATAAATGAACAATCAAAATGGTAAAGAAATCCTCTTTACCTGATGTGCTGATGTCTACCAGTAACAAGAATTGTTATCCATTGTATATATTACTATACTATTCCTTTTATTCCCGATTACCGTATATTCCATACAATTACTAATGATTCTATTTTTTGCCTAGATAGAATAGTTTCTTATTTTTATATATAGATTTTTTAAAAATCTATTTGAGTTTTTGATGAGACTTATCATTTATGGACAACTTTTGAGAGAGTGATGCTAGACTGACCTTGAGAGTGTTCACTTAATAGTCAGGACTAAATGAGGGTTATGAACTTGTGTGAGAAATTAAGCTTAAGAATTAGATTTCGGGTTTTCATCACGAATTGACATCAACCATAATGTCAAAACTCGAGATGATTGTTGAAGGTAGTCGACAGGAAAGCTAGGGATCCGGGTTTCGTGCTACTTGGTACTCGTCAGCAAGGTGTTGTATCAGTAATCTTCGGGGACCGGTGCTCTCAGCTTCACAGTCAAAGACGTTACCACTGAGCTATCCGAGCCGCAACCGACCTCCTGTAGGACTGAGATGTAATCACAATTGATTGATCACTGGGTGGTGATTGGTTCGTCCATAAAATTTTAGTCTCATCTAGTTGTTGTTTTTTTCTCTCTGAATTCTTTCTCATGTGACTACATTTGGTACAATTTTATCTTATCAGAAATAAAAAATAAACAAATTTTTATCAAAAAAAAATAATAAACAGAACATTTAGTAGTTAGTTATTTTAATAAATCAAATCTAAATTCATGTGACTTGACAAACTATGATTTCTATAATAATCAATGTAGTGAATAGTTGAATGCAGAATTCACGTTTTATCCAACTGGATGTAATTCAAATAACAGGGTTGATATTTATTGCGGGATTCGAACCTAGTGTCGTTTGTTTCAAATGGCAAATAAATCAATAGTTCATAAGTTTTTACTAATATATTATTCTAACCATAATTATAAGATCCACATCAATATTTCAGGGGAATAACACATATAAGAAGAACTATGACAATCTCCACAAAACCCCTTCTGATACTAATTAACATATGCTCACTAGTGACTGACTTCAAGAGATATATCCTGGAGTGCTAGTGAGAAGCATTGAACAGTGGAGTTCAACCAGGTCAGTTTTAAGATAGTAACTCACTGATGACAATGGTGGATGTGTCGCTCAATTTCGTGGATTAGTTGAAGTTAGACATTAACAGCGCTGGATGCCGGCTTAGTGGTCTAGTCGGTTAAGCGCCTGGCGCGAAACTGATAGGTCCTGGGTTCGAGTCCCGGGGTGCGGGATCGTGGATGCGCACTTCCGAGGAGTCCCACAATAAGACGAAACGGCCATCCAGTGCTTTCAGGTTTCCCATGGTGGTCTAGCTTCAATTGACTCATGATCTCAACTATTGAATTTACTACAATCTCCACAAAACCCCTTCTGATACATATTTATACATTTAATGAATGAATATTATATATATTATAGGCTGATTTTAGATGGGAATTTTTATATGTGGGTGAGAATGATGATGATTGGTTGTCTGCTTAGTCGGTCACATAGATTGTCTGATAGGTGTGTCAGATGAGTTATTATTATTACTCCTTTATTGATTGTCGGGTTTTGGTGGTGCGGAAATATATTCACGTTGTGGTCAAGCTAATCACATGTTCTTGATCTGAGTTGTGTTAATGTACTGGGAGGGAATCTAGTGCAGGTATTCGTTTAAGGTAAATTAACTTCCTATAAGTGGGAACGTGGAAACCCAACCGTTATAACATTAGACGAAGTAAAACACGAGCGTTGTAACAAATTTCATTTCAAGTGCTAATTTTCACGTTATTTACGTTTCTCATCCAACAATTCATGATGTACTATAGTGTCGTGTTCACAGAAGTCGTGCATAGATGGCTCATGAAATCATCAATAAAAATTACGCTAATAGACAAAATTAATGGAATAATACTGAATACTTCATTTTTATTGAACATTGATGAAGGATGGTTCTTACATTTATAAAACGGTCAAGTTATAAAGAAAAAGGAGAATGCAATATTCACAAAACAACTAAGGGTATAGTGTTTGAAGATACGTGATTCGTCAATTACTTTTTCACCAAACATTTACAACAAAGTTATCGATTTTGTGGTTTAAGAGATGCATGCAAAATACACATAGACGATACTATTTTAGAGTACGCTATTGTTATTGATATATTTATTATGATAGTTATCGATCTTTTGAGCATAGAGTAATGTTAGAAGAACTGTAAGCAATGTGTGATATGATTGGCAGTTGAACGTGCATTAGTAGACGCTCATTATTAGATGTGCCATTTGTTGCAAATTATTGATTTTTACTCTGGACTCACTTGGCGTAGATTGATTTGTCGTTGTGTTGAATAATGTATCGCCTATTCTATATTATGGTACTCTGTTTTCGGTCGTTACTCGTGTATCCAGTATAACGTGTCCCAGTCTGTGTATATCATATCACTAGAGTACCTGGTCTAGTAGTAGTATATTCTCGGCCACTGGCCGTATAATGTAACTGAGAAATATTTGGATTTCCCCGTTATATCAATACTTATGCATTTGTACAGCGTTATGAACCTTTTGGAATAATAGATAAAACAACAGTTTACTTTCAGTATTTCCTTAATAGGATTACTGGAACGTTAAGTTTGAGAATGAGTAGTGTAAACAAGAACAATTTCAGTTCCGTTACAGGATACTTGGAATCATATACAACTAGAAAAACGGAAGCACAGATCAATAACAGCAAGGATGACTGATAGGTCTGTTGTCATATTCGTGCTAGACTGTTCTTTACCGTATTTATTCATGTGGAATTTTACTTCAGTTGATCATTCAAACATTATACTAACCAGAACACATAGGAAGGTACATTCACGTTGATAGTTGGTTACAAATTATCACATATTTGATCATAACGATGGAACTGTGTTTGTAGCGACGTAATTGGAAGATGTTACAACATGTTCCCGAATTAGTCACTCCATTTTATAGCCAACAATCTGTATAATTCAAGACTATTCTCTTTAAGTGTCATTTTCCAAAGTTCTACAATCTTATCTATGATGGTTCGATAAATATCTTGGAATGTGGTGAAAATGAGAGTATGTCATAAAGTGTTCGAAGATTTCAAGCATCACAAAGAAAGTTTCGTGATGATGAATCTGGAGGTTGAAAAAGTTGTAAATCACTTACACTTGTAAAGTACGAGAGATAATTGTCCAGATATGAAAAATATATGAATAATTATTATTAAAAGTTAAAACAGCTTAGCGACAACTGAGTACCGAATAAAAAGAAACTGGGAGGGATTTTTTAGGGCTGAATAAGAATTCGAGATTGCGCGTTGAGTTCATGCTTATATTTCTGAATTTCAAAAGCCTCAATGGTGTACCCTTTTTTGCTTCAACTTCCTTTTGATCCCAGCTGTTCGATTGTCCAGATTTCGAAAAATAATTCCAGTTTGATTACGTGATAAGAGTCAATTAAATGATCCATATTTGACCATACTAAGTATTGTCCTAAGACGCATCAAATCACTATGGTCACTATATAGTGCACCTTCTGTAATTGATATCATTGAAAATAAAGTTCTCTCCACTGGACTGTCTTTATATTTTTTCCAATGAAACATTGAGTTTCCTTCGTTATCCACTGTCGTTGGTTATGTACAGAAACCATGATTTCACCTTATTAAATCCTGACTGAATTAGTTCTGTAAGATACTTTTTACCACAAAAGAGGAACATGGTAATTCTTGTAATCCTTAGAGTAGATTCATAAGAATATGCTATAAAGCTGAGAAAATTCTCTGAAAATAGTACTGATTAAATTATGTGATTGTAGAGGTGAGAATGCTTCATCAGGGGTTAAGATGACTTAGAACTATATGCCCATCTATGATTTCCTGACTTGATCGGCTCTAAACATCTGTCATATGAAATTACTCAGCACAGTGGTCATATTGTAATTTTGAGCTTGTGATTAGAACAGCCATCAACATGACTTGAACATCAAATAAGTGATCAGCTAGTGTGAAGTTGATCGATAGGATTAGATCAATATAAGGATCAGAGATGTATATGAATCGGTTCAAGTTGCTACATTATAGGGACAAAGCAATTTGGAACTATCACGACAAATATCAGAGTAAAGGAAGCAATGTCAGTGATATTAGAAAAGATTAGATAAGAAAAGATGAATTCTTAGCATATAAAGTATGAAATAATTTTGAAACTCAAGATCTAAGAGAAAACAAAGATTTAATATATTTGTTCTACGGCTATCAACTCAGCCATGTCGTCCAAAATTTCAAATCATGATCTTGGATGCTCACTGCTGAGGTGTCCCATAATGACCGGAGTATAACAGTAGCTGTCCTGAAGCTATTCTTTGTTGTCCAGCCTGCGTCAAATGTGTTTCACTGATTCCAAGCCCATCCAAGTTGTATCTTTTCATTTCTGCAGCAACTTGGATGACTCTCCCATATTGTACAAATATTCCATGTGCCTAAATTAATGGTTGCTCTGGTCGTCATGAGACGTCATATCTCTTCTAAATGAAGACCTTCCAACTCTTAGAATAGAGTTTAAATGGTCTGAATTATTTTTTCTGGTTAGCGTTTTTTTAGTGAATTAGTTTTCTACGAGATGAGGTCACTAACCCTATGTTCAATCCTTCTCCTTGATCTCAGCTTGGGACCGTCAGTATCCCCAGAGGGGCTCCAAGCGGAATTACCTACGCCTATTTTACCTCATGTAGGAGCATAAGTCTCTCGTCAGCATTCTTCATCGAAGTCTAAAGTAATTAATTATCAACAACAATAATCATCATTATTGTGGTTCTTTTTCATTGATCACATTATTATTCTTATGAATTTTTCTTAATAGATGAGTGTTACGTCCTTGATCTG